TTTCTAAGCCTGGTCCTGCATGTCTCATGGCTCCAGCATGTCCCCTCCACACTCTGGGTCAGAGCACAGCACGTCTGTGTGCCTGTGACCCTGCAGCAACGGAAGGGAGGTGTGTGACGACACAGGGGTCCTGCCGTTTAGGACAGCCAGGCATTCAGATCTTACAGATCCCACCTCACTAAAAGAGGTCCAAGTGGGTAAGATGTCTGAAGGTACCTTCAAAGCAGTTCCATTCACATCCGCTTCCCCGCTGTATGCCAGACGAGGTTCCGACTTGGCGGGGGAAGCTCGCAGGTCCAGCCATAAGAAAGGCTGGCCAAGGTGGGGTTATGGTGAAGGTGTGACCATCACACAGACTCACAGAGGGGGAATTCGCTGTGGGCTGGTGGTCAGCTGGACAGAACCCTGCTTGTAAAGCAGCTTCCTCTTAAAGGATGATGAGCATGAGCAAAGAAGAGGGAGACGTACATTCCTAATGAGCAAGGGACATTTCCAGAGAGGCAATTGGCCAGCGTGGTCTTCGTGACCCAGCACACTGTGTCCCCGCCCAGCTCAGCTCACAGGGCTTTGGGGTAAGGAAGGGGGAGCAGCTCTAAGACGTTTGAGAAAACGCTTTGTGTTACCATGGCAAAGACAACAAGAACCTGTCCAGAAGTGTCACTCGGTCACCAGTATGGACAATGAATCCAAGAGGGAGGAAGTTAGCAGCAGCAGTCAGATTTCAAGGGTAATGAGATTGTCAGGACAAGAGGTTACATGAGAGTCTAAACACAGCAGGAAAGGGGCTGGTGGAGGGCTCTGAAGAGGCAGGATTGGCGGTGAATATAAAAGGCAGAGATCTGTGTGGGCCTTGGGCATGGTTTCATGGTTCCATGGTTATACCACAATGCAAGACATCTTGAAAAGCAGACAGGAAATAATAGGAAATATCTTGCAGTCCCATTATTTATGCGGATAAGTAGCCTCTGAGGATTTTATAATATTTAATCCCCATAACTCACAGAAAATCATGTCAGTAAAATCAATGATAAAAAATGACTTTTTTCATGTATTTTTAAATGTTTTGCTGCCTGGAAGGATTGGGGGGGCTTTCCATGAGGTAATTTTAAAAGCACCAATTAACATTTTAATTAAGTACAAGAATTGAGGTCATTACTTTGGCATGAAATAGATAAAAAAGAAAAACTTAAGAGCGTATGTGAGCATGATGACACTGTGATGAAGTGTATGCGGGTCCAATCTCCACCTATGCAAAAGGAACCAGCCCACAGACAAAGGAAATATAGGCATATAAGGAAAACACTATTTGCCAACAAATAACAAAAGAAAATGTAAATTCGCATGCAAATAACACGATTACCTTACTTGTAGGATGGTAGAAAAAAGGTAAGCACATAGCTATGAAAATACTTTCAAAGTTTAAATGTGCTGGGTCAATGAAAGGCATTATTATTTTGAGTAAAAAAATTCACACTCCCAGCTGATGCATTTTTGAGTATTACCTATTTAAATGTCCCTCATGGAGTGCAGCTATCATTTGTTCTTATTACTGAAGAAAACAATGATTAGAATTAGTAATATTTGTGAACTTTCCTTTTTCCTGTGAATATATTAACCTCCAGCAAGGATCACTGTTAATGCTAGCTGCCTCCAGGAAAGGAAATGATATTGAGGAAGAAACGGACACTCTAAATGCTCACTCTAAATACTTCCCTATCATTCAATTTCTTCAATGAGGATTATTTATGTATTACTTACATAACTCAAAATGCACTATAAAAATAAACAAGTCAACCACTTTGTTCCTCAGAAACCTCACCATAAAATGGCACTGAATCAACACTCTACAGTCCTCATGCTTAAAGACAAATAGAACTTAAATGCCTAAAAAAATTATAAATCAGGTCATTAAAAAGGGGAAAACAATGCTAACCTGAAAAATGAATATTCATTCAGGGGAGGGGGGGGGCGCAGGTAGATTAAAAGTTTTCCTGGGGCCGGCCCAGTGGCTCAGTTGGTTAAGAGTTGGCTTCAGAGTGCGAGCTCTGAGCAGCAGGGCCCCAATTCAGATCCCACATGAGGGTCAGTGACACTGCCCTCTACAGCTAAGATGGTGAACAACTGCTCAACCTGGAGCTGGGCTGCAGTGAGTCGCGGCAATGGCGTAGGCTGCAGCCCCTGCTGCAGTGGGTTGCCATGAGCTACCATGAGTGGCTGCCAGCGTGAGTGGCCGGCAGCCAGAGTGAGCTGCTGTGAGCAGCTAGCCATCCAATGGCCAGCAAGCGACTGCCTCACCCGGGAAGAGCGCAATGATAATACCAACATGGGCCAGTGAAGCAACGTCCTCCACAACTAGACTGAAGAACAAAAGGGCAGCAACTTGTCTGTTCCCCAGTGCTGTTCCCCTCCCACAATTCCTCAATAAAATCTTTAAACACAAAAAGTTTTCCTAAATGAATTGTAAGTAATTATGTAACAACCATTTCCTTCAAAGCGAATAAAAGAGTAAAAGTGTTCTTTAGAATTAAAAACTGTGTATTTCCATAAAGAAGGTGCTCAAGTAAGGAATACAGATACTGCCAACAATCTTGTAGTTAGGACACAAAAAGTAAACAAAAAATTACTGGACATTACAAACCTGTAATAACAAAAGGAAAAAACCCTAACTATCCAGAGCCACGTGTTTGATGTGGTTTATTTTTAATGGAAATAAATGCAGCTCACACTCCAGCTGGCCACGTTAAATGCCTGAGTTTGCTACACTAGTAACAACAACCCACTAAAGCCTAAAGCTGGATTACTGTAACCACAGGACTGGCTTTTGTGTTTTGAAGAATACTCATTCTCTTTAAATTCCATAGTAAAACATTGGCACACATTTAGCTAACCCTAAAATATACTTTTAAGAGTCAAAAGATTTCCCTAACCACCGTATTTCCCCATGTATAAGACGCACCCTTTTCCGAAAAATTTGGGGGTCTAAAAACTGGTTGCATCTTATACAGTGGTTGTAGATTTTTTTTTTTACTTGCATTTCCCGCTTTTTTCACGCTTGTTTATGCGCTCATACAACCACTGTATAAGACGCACCCAGTTTTTAGACCCCAAATTTTTCGGGAAAGTGTGTGCCTTATACGGTATATCTCAGATTTAAATTTGAAAACAAAGCAATGATCTTTTGAAAAGATGGGAAATAGTTAATCTATCACTGCTCAACTTTGGTGCTACTGACATTCTGGGCCAAGAAACTTCTTTGTCTGTGGGGCTGTTTTGTGCATTGCAGGATGTTTACCTGCCCACAGGGCCTCTCCCCACTAGATGCCAATAGCACCCTCCTTCCCCCGACAGTTGTGACAACCACAAACGTCTCCATATATTAACAAATGTGTGTGTGTGTTGGGCGGTTGGGGGGTGGGCCGTGGGGAAGCAAACTGCCTCTGGTTGAGAAGCACCGATAATCCAATGCTTGGCTCAGAACCAAAAATTTTAGAATCATGCATAAGGGTAAGTCTAGTTTTTAAAGTTGGAAAGAATTACAACTATTGGGTTGTCGGAAAAGTCCTGATGCATTTTTGCAATGAAAAACACAGAAAATATATGTCATGACTTTTCTGACAGCCCAATAAAAACAGACAAGGGGGAAGTGAATCCACTCACAAAGTGAAATGACTCAAAAATACATAGCCACACATGAAACACTCCTCTTCAAAAGTAATGGTTTATTCTAATGAGAGCTCAGAGCAGAACTGCAGTTTAACTTAGAGAAACCACTTCCTGTCAGTACCACAAAGCACGAACACACACACACACACACACACACACACACACACACACACCCCACTATCTTTATTCTCCTCCAGGTCATTCACTGTCCATGGGCTCCTGGATGACACACAGAGCTTCCCTCCAAGTTCAGTAGTCACCACTGTCATCTCATCTTTCCGGATCCCTTCACACTGAGCTGTACAGTCTACCCACCCTCTTCTATCGCATCTTTAATTTTGATTTTGAAAACATTATTCTCAATAATTATTTTTTGTCATTTTCAATCTTTTCGCTTTTATAGCAATATCCTTTACACCAATTCTCCTGGGATCTAAATCCAAACATACAATTTCTTATTTATGTTCTCTTGGGATCTAAATATATCCCAAATCAAAATCTCTGATTACTAATCTCATTTCAGTCATTGAAAAATATTTATTGAGTGCCTTCTCCATGCCAGGCACTGTTCTAGAAGTACATCTTAAGATAGATACATCAGCGCAAAACAACACACACAAATGGCCAAGGGACAGAGGTCTTAGGTCAGGGAGCCTGGGGGGAGGGGCAGGGGGAGGGGGATAGGTTCACTGTTCAGCCAGACCTTTCCAAGTGGAAAACCGGGTGATTTGGGAACTCCACTTCTCCACCTTCCTCACAGGTATAATGTGAAAATCCTGACTGCCTCGCTGACATTGACTTTTACCCCTTTCTCCTATGTCCTCTCATTTATCCTTTCCCCTGGAATTTCATCACTGCTTCATCGGTCAACATTTTCAGATGTAGCAACAGCTCCTATTTCTGACTTTTCATGCACTTCAAATCACCTGCTTTTCCAATCTGACACTGTTTCTTGACGGCCCAATTCAGATTTTTCAACTCCAAATGTCTAAAACCTTAGAAAAACAGCTTCAAGGACTCAGCTATCCGCTACTCCCTGGGCAACTTCGACCACTCTGAGCCACCACTGCTGCCTAGTCAGCAGTCTGTAGAGCACGCATGCTTCTCATCCCTGAAACATTATTTTGACCATTTAAGCAGTTTTCTCTTATCTCTGTGCTCTCCAGCACCCTAAAAGTATGCCGTGGTAAGCAACTTATAAATCCCAACTTAAGTACATAATAAATGTGGGACTAGGAAGAATGCAAAATACTCAAATAATAGATATTAAAGTCTTGCAGGATAGCTATTATTTTACCCTGTAATAAACTTATATTCCTAATGACCTCTGGGTTTACCTCAAAAGTTCTGAGTTTGGGGGTAATTTCCTCAAGCAAATGCAGATCTTTGGAAACCTTGACCTTTAGTTTGTTCCACTTTCCTTGAACATCATTAAATTCTTGATTATACATCTTTTCTACATCTGGAGAAACGTTTTCCTCCAAAGCCTTTGTTTCTTCTGCAAGTGTATATAAAGTAGGTTTTTGATTCTCAAGGATTTCATCAAGGGCCTGGAAAAAAAAAATTTTAAGATTAGAAGTATGCACAACAATTTGCCTGCACATATGTAAGAATAGGAGCTGCACATAGTCAAAAGTCGTTTTTTAAAAAGCATTTCATCAAAAAAGAACTGTGAAAAATTCATGGGGAAAAAAAAAAAAACACACAAGCATAGTCCAAAATGTGAAGGCTTTCCCTTTATGAATTGTATGTGCACCAGATGTATTCCATTCTCTAACTACAAACCCCCGGCACAGCACACACAGGGAGGACGGGCCCAGTGTGCGGCGCTCGCTGGCTGACCTGTCTTATCTCATGAAATGGTTCAGAGCCTATATCCTAAATGCCCAGGGGAGCACTTTTATTCAATGTAGAAAAAGAACAATACATCCATTCAATTGATATTCTTCATTTTATTAAGGATATTTTAGTAGGGTATGAACAGGCTGAGTGAGAATTTTAAGTTCCTTACAATAAGAGGAAATATGGTTTTATTCTCCTAAAATACTTAATAGAATTGTCTTTGCTTTTACCTTAGGTGCTACAGTATAGTAACTAACCTTCAAGCTGCAAGGAATTTTTGACCAATTTTGACTAATAGTAGCAAATATTTTTAAATAGTTGAAAAACATATTTCCAAATATGTGATGTGTTATATTAGAAATGATTCTAGATTTCTAAGACCTAAAATACAGATTACCTTTTTCCCTTGCAGGGCTTTCTCCACCTTTGCAAGATCGTTCAAGGCATTCAAAGGTGTCTGGGCCTTATTATCTACATCATTTAGCACATCTTTCAGTGTTTGCAGTGTTTCCAAATATGCATGTCCAGGTTGGCTCTTCATTTCTGTTTATTTGAAAATACTTAGTTTGAGAAAACAATGTGAAGAACCTCATACGATCATATATATCATTAATCTTCCTTACATAATAAGTGGATTCTAAAGCATAAGAAGTTAAACGACATAATTAAAATTTTAAAAGGTCTCTGTTAGTTACTAAAATCATTCAATTGTTATTTCTGAGAGTCAGACAGTGACTTCATTCCGGCAGATGCTGATATTTGAAATGTTAACTAACCCACTCTCATTTTTCTTCATTTCGTCATGATGAAATGTCTCTCTGAAGATGGTACTACAATGTTCCTTTTGTCTCATATAATCTCTTTTTGCCCAGCAGCTACACAAAGAATAAAAGGAAACAAAGACCCCTTCAACCAGTCTTCCTCTAAGCTGAAGTGTGCAGACAAATTGCTATCTCCAGGGCAGTGGACATTATACAGGAACACTTAGCCAGGCTGCCACCAAGAACTCCGAGAAATCCTGACTGCAAAAGCCAGCTAAAAGGATGTCACTTCACCTACGAACGTGAAAATCGCAGACAGGCAACACCGTGTGGACAGGAAGCAAGCTCATGTGAAGCACAAAGCGATTAAATCAACTAGCAACAAAAGTTACGACACTGACAGCATTCTCCACACAGGCAAAAGGTGCAAACAACCCAAGTGCCCATCAACAAATGAATGGATCAACAAAATGTGACCTATACATACAGTGAAATATTATTTGGCCTTAAAAAAGAAGGACGTTCTGATACATGCTACAACATGGATAAACTTTGAGGATGTTACACAAAGTGATATACGCCAGTCACAAGAAAACAAATACTGTATGATTCCACTTATACGAGGAATCTAGAATAGTCAAACTCATTAAAACAGAAAGTAGAATGTGGTTGCCAGGGGCTACAGGGAGGGGGGAAATGGTGGGCTGCTGTTGAATGAGTATGGAGTTTCAGTTTTACAGATGAAAAGAGTTCTGGAGATTGGTTGCACAACAATGTGAATATATTTAGCACCACTGAACCCTACATCTAAAAATGGCTGAAGTGGTAAAATTTATGTCATTTTTTTTCTACCACAATTAAAAACGAAACAATAAATTCAAAAAAATTTAAGTTAAGAAACTAAACATTTAAATTGCCTATTGGTCCTTGTCAAAAACGAAAGCATATTTTGTAACAATACATTTAAAAAGAGGTGCTCTCAAATATTTCACATTCTAGGTTAACGGAATTCAGTGAACGAGGGGTCTAGTGTCCAGCTGACTTTCCAGATGAAAGGAAACATGACACATTTGTTTACCATGCACACACACAAATTCTGACAAGTCAATACACAATCTACAACTGCTGTAAGTAACGGCATGGCTAAATGTGCATCTTTTTAACATTCACTACCCAACTTTCTAATACAGCACAATTCCTGACTTAAACGATAGCAAAGGAGAGAAAAATATAACATATGGGTGTTGAGCTCTCAAAACTTTAAACAGTTAACTTTCTAAAATCAGGTTTATTCCAGAAGTAAAAACTCTACAATTTTTCAGGCTTTGAAAGAGGAACATGATTTCTTTTAAAAGAACATGTTATTGCTAAAACTTGAACCATTTTAAGCAAAGAAAGTAAGTGATCATTCTTTTTATCCTGACTAGTAATGATATTAGCTGGCCTTCTTCAATAAAAGGGAGAAACGGCATCCTTTTAAAAAGGCTTAAAAATCATGATATCCTATTAACATGATTTTAAAACATGTGTGAAAGCTGACCATGTTTTTACAAACAAGCGTGTAGCCAGGAAATAATATGGATACTTAAATATACTTTAAGACCTGGCACAGCAGCAGGCAGGGGACAACAGTGAATCTGGCCCACAAGAAGTGAGTGTGCTCAACATCCAAAAGCTGGGAGTTGGTTTTAAAATTAAGGCACAGTGAGAGGAGAGAGTACATTTACCGTTCTCTAGCTGTTGTTGATGGTCCTGTAAATCCTGTTGCACAGATTGGTAGCGGCCCAGAAAGCGATCAAAGCTCTGCTGGACAAAATCTGGGGCAGACGGCCTGGACTTGAGGGCTGCGCAGCTGGCATGGACCATTTCAATTTGGGGTTGGAGGCCAAGGAGGTTTGTCAGTTCCCTCTACAGAAGAGAAAATACGGTCACATAACTCGCTGAAGATGAACCTCCACTCTGCTGTTCATGATACAAGTAATAGCATCTCTTTAAATATAGGGTTGGGCGTAGAATTTTCTCATGTCCTGGATGGTTGTCTCTTTACCTGACAGGAGTCCTTCAAACGTGGCAAGGACTGCTGGGGAGGCTCTGAGAAGGGAGCATGTTTAACCCATTCCTCCGCTGTCTTCACGGTCTTGTCAAGCTCATCGAGTTGCTGAAAGTAAGCATTTATATCTTCCTGGAGCTGAATCATTCTTGCCACATCTTCCAAATGCTGAGATATACTCTTCCATTCTGATACTACCTTCTCCAGAATATTTTTTGTATCTTCAGTAGGAAGACCTTCTACACAGACATAAAAAATAAATAGGCATTTCATATATTATGACAGAACTTGCATGGAATTTGTTATAAACATTGTAACACATTCAAAGTAATGAGGAAATGTCAACAATAAGGATCACTCCCTCTTGTCCCTTTTAATACAACAAAAATTATAATGATGAAATAGTAATAATACAAAATAAATAATATAAAATAAATATAAAATATGCATTACAATGATGAAATAATGATGATGATGAAGATAAAAATAACTGTTCGATTCCTTGACCAAAGTGAGAGAGGGGGAACTTGACGTATTGCTTCAGGGGTTGTGTGACTATGATGAAAAACCTATCAGCAGAGCTTAGAACTTCAGCCACGGCCTCTTCTATAAATGTGTTTGCATCCTTGGCACCCTAGCACTCTTCTCGCTTCTACTCTGAGCCAGGGAAATAAAATGAACTATCTGGACCAGTCTGGGGTTCTGACATCAAAAGGTAAACCCTCTCCATCAGAAAAAAAAAAGAGACAGCTGGCTAGAAAAACTAGGAAGCAGCTCAAGTCTTTGGTGACCAAAGCACAGTGTCATCTGAATTACAAAATGAAAGGCAAGACTTCCCAGTGCTGGGAGCAACCTGGCGACTGGAGGAATACTAAGCCCAGCAGCCAGGCCCATGAAGCATCAGCAAGCCAGCTGGGGATGCTACACACAGACAGCAAATACCAAAATGTGGATGCAACGGTCACATTATCTACTTAGAACCACGTCAGTAAAAAGTACCACTGTGTTTATTACTGACATCTTATAATTATTTTTCAGTAAGAACTCCCCAACTGGTTTGTTTATTTATTTTGGTACATTACATCCCCAGGACTTATTTATTTTATATATAATTTTCTGTGTCTTACATTTTTGAGAGGTAGAGAATGTTCATAGAAAAAATAAAGTTCTATATGATAGCAGTCCATCCCTTAATATAAAATACCCTCAAATCATGTAAAATTACTCTGAAAAGTATGGAAAATCTGCAAAGGAATGTTTATCTCCGGAGAAGAGCACACACAGAGGGAAGATGGGCTTAGCATCTTTATTAGTTGAGTAGGAAGGCAATAAAAACAATTGTGCTTTGTAGATATGTGCAATCAAAATCCAGGGTAATAAGATCTCTAAGAAAAAGAAAATGGTGTGTAAAACAGTCACTTCTGATCACAAACAATGCAATTGTAAAACTTTCTATAAAATACTGTATCCACTAAAAATTAGAACTGCAAA